ACCTTCCCCTAAAGTTTGGCACGTTACTTATGGGACACCCTGTATATAAGTATGTAAGCATTTACTTAACCCCAAGTAAACATAGGTCAAAAATGTTGCTTGAAAAGCGAAAGCGTAAATGCTGGCGCGGGTGTTACTCACGACGAGTGATTGCGGTTGATGGTTCAAAGCGGTTTTTTATGCTTAGAAATAAAGAAAATACAGCAATGAAAATTAAATTACAAATGGCAATGAAAATTGTGGTAGCAATAGAGGGAAAACATATTTAAATTATTCTTGTTAACCATTATGAGAATTAGGAAACAATGGAATTTATGAATAACTGTGTGACAAAAAGCGTTGTTAGCAAACAAAAAAATAAAACGAAGCATAGCCATTATTAATATGTCTTTTTATATTTACACATTTAATTATATGTATATATGTAAGTATTTATTTACCTATATATGTACATATAAATATACACACGTCATGTGTGGGTAGACAACCTTGACATCGTCAACTCAACGCCATGCAATTTTCGAACTCCGCAAACTTTGAAGAACTTTGCCGCGTGCCTTTAACAAGAATTCTACATTTTGTGGGTGGCTTCCATTGACTTACAAGTTGTTAGCGCGGTTTTTATGTTTAGTAATTGCTGTGGTAGTTGATCATTTAACATTGAAGGTAAAATGCATTACTGGTGTGGTTTTACTTAAAAAATTAAAATTAAATTAATGCAATTCTTAGCCAATATTTGCAGTATTATGCAGAAAGCTAACGAAAACCGGTTATTCTAAGCATGGCGCTGTAGTGGCCATGAAATTCTTCAACTAATTGATTAATTAAATTAAAAATTACCCATAGAAATGAAATAAAGCGTATTATATTCTTCATTAATAAACATTTAATTTCACGCAAATTTCGTTTGTCCTGCCGGTTGTATTCATTTTGTAATCGATCACTCATTTTTTACTTTCCTTTCTTCTAGTGCTGAATGTCGCCGCTGGCAAAGCGCCAATGCAAATCTCCACCGAGGGCTCAGGTGCTCCCCAAAAGGCCATTGATGGTTCAACATCCGCATTTTTCACACCAGAAACCTGTTCACTAACCAAAGCTGAACGTTCGCCTTGGTGGTATGTGAATCTCTTGGAGCCATATATGGTGCAATTGGTGCGATTGGATTTTGGAAAATCGTGCTGTGGTAAGTTTAAATAAAATGCTGTGTTAAAGAAAAATAAAATAAAATTAATATTAAATGTCAGAGTAGCGTAATGTAAGTTTTTCGTCCTACTATTTGTCATTTTAATTACGAGATGGTGAACAATTTTCCAGCTGATAGAATTCAGGGGCATAAGCTTCCCCTCGGTCATTTCGTTACCTTAAATATACTATTTTTAAAATCTTGATATCTGTTCCTGCATTGATATTGGCAAAAGCAGTTGTTTGCGGTTAGTTGTTACTTCTCTGCGAACTTACCAGACTCTGTGATGAATATGTGTAGCCTGTTTTTCTAAAGAGAATGCAGCAAACCCATTACCAATAAATATGGTTTAAAACAAGGGACCAAAAATAACTGTTATCCCGATCGGTCTGACTAAAGCTGTGTTTTCCCAAAATATTGAGACGGTTTCAGACACACTCTCTTACCGAAGGTTCTCCTCCACACTCCGAAAAAATTCAGCGGTCGAGTATCTTTAGCTTGTCAGCTTCTTATCTGGAGTTACTCCTAGATATTTCACTTCCTCGGAACGACTTCGGCTTACGTCTCTATGCATCTGGAAGTTTGTGGCCTTCCAATTTCAATTTTCGTTTAAACAATACTATGATTGTGCTTCTAGCGGTTGACAACAATTCCACGTAAAGTAGACCATGCACTACTATTGTTCAAAGTTATCCGTATCTTACCACATGCCTCCAACTTTTTCCTCAAAGTGGGAGTGCCCAAATGCCCTTTAAAATCTTATACGAGTCCTTTTAAGCTTGTCTCCGCCGCACTTTAGCCTCTTGAGATAAACATCAAGTTCGTCAGGTAACTTAAAATGATAATTAGATAATAGTAAAAACAATTGATTTTAAAGTAAACTTTCTAAATATGAACGAAATCGGACCATAAATACTGATTTACCAAATATAGACTCCTGCGTCACCTATCGGAAAAATTTTTATGTGGAGTTATTCCTTTTCATGTAGTTAATATACGTCTAAATATGAACCAAATCGGGCTATAACAGCGGGTTTTTCAAATATCTCGACTCGTGCGCCACGTATCGGATTAACTCATCATCCTTCGTAATGCATTTTCATCAGGTTCTGAGTCAACTGTGAAGTTTCACGTCTCTAGATCATCGAAAAGTTGGTCAAAAAGTGATTGCAAGATTTGCCCCTAGTAAACATACGTACATTCAGAGGAAGTGAAATAAAAGCTTGTAAATAATAGGCTAGATCATTCGTTTCCCGTCACCAAACGAGGTTCTATCCACCGGTTTAACCTAGTAGATGTTCCCGACGTTCCATGCGCTTTCATACCTCTGTTCGCGTCGGAAATTAATTTTATCATAAATATTAGATTTTCTGAGAGAATCAGTCCTAACCGATAAGTCTTGTTGATGTAGCTTACACAAGCTGGTACACTCTTCCATACTAACATTATCACTTCAGAAATAGGACCTCTAACAGAATTTGGTATCACTTTTCGCTGTCTGCTCTTCTCAGCGGATATAGTCCCTCAAAAGAACTAATCAAAGTATTCGTTACATCGCGAATCGCCCCTTCGATTGTTTTCAAGTTCTTGAGTGTAGGCAGATCTGGTATTCCTCTTCCAAACAGAAATGCAAACTTTCCCAAGTCCATCATTTAAGACTCCGACCTTTTGGAACTTGAGAAAAACAATCAGTTTCTAGACGGTATTCAATGAGCTAATGATTAGCTAGGGATGTCTCTAACAAGACCATCCATTCTTTTCCAAGAGCCACCATAACAATTTTGCTAAGGGTAGATCAAATATTCGGCCCTTAGCTGTGGGCTGGGTATGAACTAAAGCAAAACGAAGCTTGTACTTTTTACCAGGGGGTATAGGGTACCGAAATATCATCTACCCTCAATGTACCCTCAGGGTGAAGTACCTTGTCAACAACCTTTCCTGGAAACCCAAAGTAGAGGAAAGAGTCGGGAAGGCAATAGTAGCTTTAAATTGTGGCCCCACATTGGCAAGCGCTGCGGTCTCTCTCCGCAAGTAATTCATTAGCTCTATTAAACCTCAAAAAAATGAGGAGGTTATCAATTCGTCGGAATATTAGGTAAGCATGCGGTAAGACTGAGTATCATCGATGACCCTTCTCGCGCTAGGAGGATGGGATGGAATCATCTCAACCCCTGCTGTCTGGTAAACCACTTTCCCCCATAAGCTTTCGGTCATTTAAGTGGTGTTTCTATCCTCCACCTTCTCCTTCAGGACGGGCTCGCCGATATACTTTGACATATTTTCAGCTTTCTCTTACACAATGTTGACCTAAACGGTAAAAAATGCAAACTGGGTTTTTGTATGTCGGCCGGTCTGTAGACGGTCTGTGTTCGAAAGCAATTTTCTCCATTTGGAATGGTGACATAATTATAAAACTTATATTAAAATACGGTGCTTTTAACAACGAAATCTACCGAATTTTTTTAAATCAAAAAATTTTTCAAAAGAAAAAATTTCTTTAATTACGAAATTACTAAATAGCAAGAAATAATTAATTTTAACCGTGTCTTTCACAATCTGTAATTCAACTGCCGATTAAAATAAAACGGATTGACATAACGGATTCAAATTTACTTCGCCGTAAGGGTACGATTTTTGTCTAAAGAGCGTGCCTTAACACAATTTCTAAGTATACCTCCACCGACGGAAACGGCCCTGAATTCTTACCTAACTTAGATCAATCACTGCTTGCGTTCTGTTGGTGGCAGGAGTGGGTTTGATTTCTCATTCTGTATTACCATTACAGCGGACAGAATTTAGTACAATAGCTTTTCCCAGGAGGGTTCCACTTTGTGTAATCACACATGGTTTTTTCTCACAGCCATTTGACTCGGCGAACTGAACTTTTGCATAATCTCTTTCTCAAAGAGAAGAAAATGGAATCGTTTAGCGGGCAAGTCGAGACTATAATGACTTCGGCACGTTGACCTCACCCGGTCGGTGCAATATACGATCTTATCATGACGACATCTTGAGAGCAGAACTCTGTGGGCATCAAGCATTCGACTAAACGCGGAACTATAATGCATCCACGCGTCCTTTCTTTCTTCTTAAATTGAAAGAACTTAGCTCAGGAAATTCCTCCAAATCCACAGATGCGCTCGTATTAGTATAACCATACGAAGTTTTAGAAGAATGCTGAAGCTAAAACGTAATGATCAAAATTTGCTTCATTTAGCATCTTCCCTTTGACGCACTACAGACCGTTATCGGTCGACTACACCAAAATATTCGCTTGGCTTTCACTTTATTTACTTACAAACTCATGCACGAATACAGTTTACAGCTAGCCGTACAGTCAACAAAGTTAAAATTATGTGATTTTTGTTTACCTACAAAGCACTCCTACCAATGCTAAAGCCATTTATAGTCAACCGCTTTGTTGTTTTTGAAGATTTTGTACCGTTTTTATTGTTTCGGCAGCAGGGAATTCGATTTTCTTCAAGCTGCGCGCGCATCGGTATTATGGCAGTGGTTGACTGTGGTCTACACAATTGTCGTCTGCGCACTGGCTGTTTCGAGTTGTACCTATCGACTTTATCGCTTTGTTATTGTTTTGTGACTCATACACACTAGTTTGTTGAGGTCGGACGCGGTGAGTGGAGGATTTACTTTATGAATAGGTACGTACGTACATATGTAAGTGGGCATAGATGCTACCAAGGCGGCCACAACTGCCGGTGTCTGTGGTTGCTCCATACAATTTATGATTACTTTCACTAAGCGACGTATCTAACTGTGGTTATTGTTGTTTTTATTTTTGCTGCTGTTGGTGGAACAAAAAAACCAAAACAAACGCTTACAGTTATTGTTGGCGCAGCTAAAGTTTAGTTGAACCCACTAAGTTCGAGCACAAATGCCACACTTTACTGTTTGAGCCAGTCAGCTCAGCTGAGTCATTGAACTCCAGCTGGTTGTATGAAGTGTAGGCATTCCTGCTTAACTCACACTACTCATTTATATATTTACGTATGTGAATTTAAATTTTTTTACACCTTCTCTTTTTCCAGGCAACAAACCGGCTACCATTGTTGTGCGCGTCGGTAATAACCGCCCTGATCTGGGCACCAATCCGATTTGCAATCGTTTCACTGGTCTACTCGAAGAGGGTCAACCACTGTTTCTGCCCTGCAACCCCCCAATGCCTGGTGCATTTGTCTCCGTGCACTTAGAGACGAATATACCAAATCAACTGTCCATTTGTGAAGCCTTCGTCTACACCGATCAAGCTTTGCCCATCGAACGTTGTCCCACGTTCCGCGATCAGCCACCCGGTGCGCTGGCCTCCTACAATGGCAAGTGTTACATTTTCTATAACCGCCAGCCCCTAAACTTCCTCGATGCGCTCTCATTTTGTCGCTCTCGCGGCGGCACACTCATCAGCGAAAGCAATCCTGCGTTGCAGGGCTTCATTAGTTGGGAACTATGGCGTCGGCATCGCACTGACATTAGCTCACAATATTGGATGGGCGCTGTACGCGATGGCACAGATCGCAATACCTGGAAGTGGGTGAATGGCGAAGAGGTGGCGGTATCTTTCTGGAATCATCCGGGTGGCGATGAAGACTGCGCGCGTTTTGACGGCTCGAAGGGTTGGCTCTGGAGTGACACCAACTGCAATACGCTACTGAATTTCATTTGTCAACATCAACCAAAGACCTGCGGTCGTCCTGAGCAACCGCCAAACTCGACTATGCTGGCACTAAACGGCTTCGAAGTGGGCGCACAGATCAACTATTCCTGCGATGCTAATCATTTGCTTGTGGGTCCAGCGACACGTACGTGCTTGGAGACTGGTTTCTATAATGAATTCCCACCGGTTTGTAAATGTAAGTAAATGAGAGTTGAGCTGTGCTGTCGTCGTAGACTAAAATCATTTTCCTTTCATAGATATCGAATGTGGACTGCCTGCTTCTATTCTACATGGCTCATATGACCTCATCAATGGTACTGTGGGCTATCTCAGCGTAGTGAAATATTCATGCGCTAAGGGCTTTGAGATGATTGGACGTGCAGTACTGACCTGCGACTTCGATGAGCGCTGGAATGGCCCACCGCCGCGTTGTGAAAGTAAGTGCTGTACTCACCGTTCCGATTCTTTTATGTTTTTAAACTTTTCTTTTACACATTTAACTTAACTCTATTAGTTGTTGAGTGCGACACGCTACCAGGCAATTACTACAACACCATTATATCCGCACCGAATGGCACTTACTATGGCTCAAAGGCAGAGATCTCCTGCCCGAGCGGGTACCGGCTCGAAGGACCACATGTGCTTACCTGTTTGGCTACTGGCCAATGGAGTAGCGCTTTGCCTCGTTGCATCCGCCTCGAACCCTCTACGCCAGCACCTACGCAACCTCCACCACCTCCACCTACACAGCCACCCACATCATCACCGACAGCACCATCAACCACTTCCTACAGGCCACGGCTTACCTCAACTTCAAGACAGCCATCTTACAAACCCACCATCAGTACTACACAAACGACAAGTACCACACAGCAGCTTGATGCTGTTGGCGGCGGTAAGTACAAAGCAGATTTTGTGCGAAAATCTTTATCTCCAGCTTAAAACCTTTTTTCACGACAGATTCCGATGAGGAAGTCACTTATATTGTGCCCGGCACTGTGCGTGAGGAATTCCCGCCACGTCGGCCGCTACGTCCTGTCACTGTGTCTAAACGCCCTAGCACCACGCCGGCCTACTTCTCGCCTACCACTTCTACCACCACCAGCACGACACCGCGACCACGTATTTACGCTCCTGTGGAGTCCACCACTCGCAACACTCAGAATATTATACTTAATGCGCATCCACAAGATAATGAAATCGCGGACAGCGTTAATATTCGACATAACCAGTCGCCGAATGTCAATGTTCCATACGCTGTGGATAATGTCGATCGTAAGGAAACCAAGGAGGCTAAACTCAATTTGGGCGCCATTGTCGCTTTGGGCGCATTCGGCGGTTTCGTGTTTCTAGCTGCGGTCATTACGACAATCATCATTTTGGTGAGAAGGTGAGTGGCACTACTTTTTCTACCTTTCGTATCTTTTTGAAGTACGTTTTTATGAAAGAAGAGGGGTCGCAGTGTACAGTAGTATCGAGCTTTAGAGAGAATCTTGAGCATTCATATGACTGCGAACCCTCTTATTTATATGTAAATATTAAAATTAGTTACTAAACGGAGAATTTATTATAAAAGCCATTATTTACAGAGTTGTTTTGCACTACAGTAACATTTGTTGCAATTTAACAGAAAACATTTATAATTATTATAGAGTGTAGGCTTCTCATAGTCTGAACAAAGGGAATTCCCTGAGATCCGATTCAAAATTAGTTAGTGAGCTAGGAGAGCTACCCACCGGTGAAGATAAGTGTATTAAACTTTATTACCTGTACTGTAGCCTTAGCCGCGTAGTTAGAGCTGCGCTTTGCCATTCGACAGGTCACAGGTTAGGTGCCTTGCAATGGAACTTCCAAATGAAAGAAAAAGTTATTCTAATAGCGTTGAGTCCGCGGCAAGCGATGACAAATCACCGAGTGTATTGCGGGCACTGACTACAGTAGAAGCTCGTTTTTTTATGGAAATCGTCTGCATTGCTTTACTCGAAAGAGGATAATGGTTTTTAAATGATTTTTTCTCGATTTTGAGGTTTAGTGTGTCCATTACCGCCTACAACTTTTTCCCACTTTTCTGGACTCTGCTCCAATAAAACTGCTCGTCTTTGGAGACCAAGAAAGTATCAAGCCACTTTTTGATATCTTCAACTGAGGTGAA